CTTCTACGATACTACTGTTATCCATTGAGGGAATAGAACCGGCTGTAAATCATGGCCTGTAGTGAACACTACTGTACTCCAAAATGATGTTACTGTTGGACAACGGAGCTAGTTTACTCTTGCTAGTGGAAAAGGTAGACTTGGAGCGCTAGATGATGGACGCGTACTCAGGAATTGCTGTATCAGGGACCAGTAAATCCACACCTGTGATGGTACTTACAGTATTGATTATCCGTAATCTGCTTCAATAAAGCCGATCATGCATCTCTTACAAACAGTCCATACTAGAATACAGTCAATTAGTTTCCATTGACTATCAGTCTCCGAGAGTTAAGCGGAGATCAACTTAGAGTAAATAGTAAAGCTTGGGTGCGATCACTAATCCGATCATAGCCGATTATGCATCTCTTACAAACAAACAGTCCATACTAGAATACAGTCAATTAGTTTCCCATTGACTACCAGTCTCCGACGAGAGTTAAACGGAAATCAACTCAAGAGTAGATAGTAAAGTTTGGGTGCGATCACTAATCCGATCATGCATCTCTTACAAACAGTCCATACTAAAATACAGTCAATTAGTTTCCATTGACTATCAGTCTCCGAGAGTTAAGCGGAGATCAACTTAGAGTAGATAGTAAAGCTTGGGTGCGATCACTAATCCGATCATGCATCTCCTACAAACAAACAGTCCATACTAGAATACAGTCAATTAGTTTCCCATTGACTACCAGTCTCCGAGAGTGAAACGGAAATCAACTTAAGAGTAGATAGTAAAGCTTGGGTGCGATCACTAATCCGATCATGCATGTCTTACAAACAAACAAACAGTCCATACTAGCATACAGTCAATTAGTTTCCCATTGACTACCAGTCTCCGACGAGAGTTAAACGGAAATCAACTCAAGAGTAGATAGTAAAGTTTGGGTGCGATCACTAATCCGATCATGCATCTCTTACAAACAGTCCATACTAAAATGCAGTCAATTAGTTTCCACTGACTACCAGTCTCCGATGAGAGTTAAACGGAGATCAACTTAGAGTAAATAGTAAAGTTTGGGTGCGATCACTACTTACTCAGTCAGGAGTATCATGGATAACTCTTTCAAGCGCCAGCATTGCTGTAGTGCTGTCCAATAGAAACTATACAGTCTACCAAAATTATATCTATTTTTGTTATATCATGGACAACTTTCTCAAGTGCTTCGTGATAGGTGAATATTTTCATCACTCAGTTAGGAGTATCATGGAGAACTCTCCAAGTACCAGTATTGCACTAGTGCTGTCCAATAGAGACCATAGAGTCTAAAAAATTTGTCATAGTATTAGTAGAGTGATAGAGGAAGGTTCTCGTTAAATTAGCAACTTGAAATTTGGAGCGATGATAGAAAATGGAATATGGTACAATATGCAAGTGTCTAGCTAACATGATGAAACATTTTTGACATTCTGGATCCCTCTAATGTAGAACCCTCTACAATACTCATTCTATGTACAGTATATGATACTAACTACTAATGCAGTAAGTTCTACAATATTCCATCATCGATTGGATATAGGAGTCTTGCTGTCATATTTTATTAGTTCGCACTTTGAAGTCTTGATAAAGTTCTCTACTTTGCTAATACGCTGTCTCTACATTTGCTGGAAAACTTCTTACAAAAATAGTATTTCTTTTTATGTCATGGACAACTTTCTCAAGTGCTTAGTGACAGTAGAATATTTTCATCACTCAGTCCGTTGTATCATGGACAACTCTTTCTCAAGTGCTTGATGATCATCATGACAGTAGAATGGTGTCATCACTCAGTTACTAGTATCATGGACAACTCTCCTAAGTGTAGTCGAGTCCAATGGGAACCATACAGGCTCAAAAAAGAAATATAGTATTTATTTTTGTATCATGGACAACTTTCTCAAGTGCTTGATGAACAGTAGATTATTTTCATCACTCAGTCAGTTGTATCATGGATAACTCTCTTAAGTGCCAGTATTACCGTAATACTGTCCAATGGGAACCATACAGGCTCAAAAAATAAAAATAGTATTTTGCATCTTGGACAACTTTCTCAAGTGCTTGATGGGTGATCATCATGACAGTAGAATGGTGTCATCACTCAGTCAGTAGTATCATGGATAACTCTCTTTACTGCCAGTATTATCGTAATACTGTCCAATGGGAACCATACAGGCTCAAAAAATAAAAATAGTATTTTGCATCTTGGACAACTTTCTCAAGTGCTTGATGGGTGATCATCATGACAGTAGAATGCTGTCATCACTCAGTTAATAGTATCATGGATAACTCTCTTAAGTGCCAGTATTATCCTAATACTGTCCAATGGGGACCATACAGGCTCAAAAAATAAAAGTAGTATTTATTTTTGCATAATGGACAACATTCTCAAGTGCTTGATGAACAGTAGATTATTTCATCACTCAGTCAGTTGTATCATGAACAACTCTCTCAAGTGCTTGGTGATCATCATGACAGTAGAATGTTGTCATCACTCAGTTAATAGTATCATGGATAACTCTCTTTAGTACCAGTATTATCGTAATACTGTCCAATGGGAACCATACAAGCTCAAAAAATAAAAATAGTATTTATTTTTGCATCTTGGACAACTTTCTCAAGTGCTTGATGGGTGATCATCATGACAGTAGAATGGTGTCATCACTCAGTCAGTAGTATCATGGACACCTCTCTTAAGTACCAATATTATCGTAGTACTATCCAATGGGGAGCATAGCGCCTAAAAAAGAACTTTTCAGTTTATTTTTTTTCCATCTCTGCAAGCGAGAAGCAACTGGCAAAGGAGAAAGAGAGAAGGACGTCTAATCCTAAGCGTTGAATCTTCATGCTGCGTTAGACGATTTTGTGAGTCAATTTGTATTGACTTGGACATATGTATCGACTACTCTAGTCGAAGCGAGTCTCAATCTGCCTGGATGATCGACAGGGGAACAGCTTGCAGATTGATTTTAGAGAGTATAGTGTATGGTGTTAGTGATAGAGTACAGTGTAATGACCAGGAAGGCATCAGAGATGGGTGGGAGAGACGACTTCTCGGTCAGCAATGGGGGACTGGTCACGTCACTCTCTTCGACCACCGCTGCCTACTGTATCGACTAGATGGGACTCCGGTTTGAGATACACACTAGCTTGGTAGGATAGGATCACTAATGGGCCTTACCCCCCCCCCCCCCCCTATTAGATGGGCAAAAGAGTCTACAAGCAGCCATGATGGCATCGAGAAAGCAACAAATAAGCCATCAGGCATGATTTCAATCAGTCAACAGCGGCCAATATCAACATGAACAATCCTAATAGTGATCAGGATATCAAGCATGATCGCTATGGCGATTATAGCAGAAGTCTTGGCGCCGCTGCAACTCAACGTAGCAACGAAGCAAGACCATTATCAAGTAGTGGTGATATTCGCAAGGGTAGAAAGAAAGGGAAAAATCGTGACAAAGATCGAGCCAATAGGGTAACTAACTTATTCAATCAATCCATTCTGGATAGCATACAGTATAATAAGAGATGGAATGGTAATATGCAACCATTTCCATTTCAATCATGGTTGTTATAGTATTTACTGCTGGTTGTACTTTATTGACAAAGATCATCAACATGGACCCAAGTTGAATCAATACGCGTATAGGATTAGACTGACCATTCAATGCATGCACAGTTGAAAGTGTAGACGTTGTTCAATGTAATTCATTCTTACTATCCACCATTTGTGTTATACTAGGAAGTAGTTTAATAGAAAAAGATGATTTTACCATACAGCATGAATCGATGGAATTGGTTGTAAACTACTCTATCGTCAATGCATCCTCTACTTCACTTTCCTATAACCAAGCTAATCATCCAATGCAATCGTATGCATGAATGCAATCTTCCATTCTCTCCATTTCCTATCAAGTGAAAAGACGTGTACAATAAAATAGCAATAGTCAATTTACTACACGGGTGTGTATATGACTTTATCGTAACGAACCATCATCAAGTACTACTAGTAATCAACTAACAAAATAATATAAATACCTCAAATACTGCAAGTGCTACAGCCCCAATGGATTGGTAATAAAATCAATTTCCATACTTTACTACAACCGATACATCAATCCATTGATTGACAATCACCATGTCTTAGCGATAATGATAACTCCTCAATCTAACTTAAATTATGATTGAATTTAAAATAAACAGCGACAACAAAATTCTTTCGAAATACAAACACCCAAAATTTTAACCAAAGCAAATAAGGTCAGTAGTTATGCTTATACATGGACAATTTTGGTCGATCCAATGGTCTCTTAGCAGGACATTCGTGTTTATTTCAATGATACCTAAATCTATAAAAATTGCTTTGTTGTATGTCATATACGTTGAACTGAATGCATTTGTTTTAAAGTTGGAAGGAAATGTCATCAGTATATTAAATGGGTAAGCAATACATCTTACATTGTCCTCCAACACAATCAAGATGGAGCATGATGTATTTGGTAGTTTTCCCCGGATTAGGAAAATTTTAAAGTTATTATTTCCACCACGATTTCACTTAGTAATCATGCTACGGAGATGCAGCCATCACAGGATACCGATAAAGATCAAAAGTCCATTCTGAATGCAACGAAAGTCAGTCCACCTGTCATGATCAAAGCCAACGAGAAGATGAAGCATGATGTCAACAACAAGAGCAAGCCCGGCTTGGCTAACGTGGTTAGCGGCAATGAGAAAGGTAAATATTTCATCGTTGTATTGTTCATTCATATTCTTAACATATTAAACTTGCGTGTGTTTATGAAATGGAAATAATGCATTTTAAAGTATAGAGCGAGAATAACAGTTGCAAAAAAAAAAATGTTCGTACAGCATGCATCATTCTTAATGAATAACAATACTACTTATGGCTCTTAGTACAAACAGTATCTGGCAATACTCGATTATTATCGCATCTGAAACTAAAAGAACAACAACGAATGACTAAATGTGCAAAGCTAGTCGATCGCTTTAACCAATGGACCAATCTAACATCGGAGGTAGATTATATCCTTCCGCTATGTTGCAATGTTCCATGCATTTCGACAATATACGTATCAATAATATTCCTCTTATAAATGGGTTTTGCATTTCCTAGCATTTCCTAGATCAATCGGACTACTTAGTAGTTGGCGTAATAGGCCTTGAAGGTGTCGGAAAATCGAGCATTATGTCGCGCCTAACCAATATAGGAACTTTACAAAAGTATTCTCTTCATTTCAATATACTTACTCACGCGCCGGAGTGAAATCGTATTTCACTGTATGTGTATTAACTATAATAAATTAATTCGTAGGCACAAGATACCAATCTTCCAGCAACAAAATATAAACAATACAGTATGTAGAAGTAATCATTTTTGC